TGTTATGAATTTTTAACACTGCAGCATCAAAGCTGTCAAAATCCAGCTTTATAACTCACTGCATGTTGCAGATTTTACCCAATTTAGCTTCAAATTCACACATTAATCAACATTATCTTTTATAATCTTTCAAATGCAGAACCTAGCCTCTAAATTAACACTTCTACTTGAAATAAACTTGTAATTAGAAGTATACATTTGATGATTAACACATAATCCTCAAGAATCTAACATTGATCATCAAGGATTGAAAGATTAATCTTAAGTGTGTGTAAATCGCACCTTGAGTGTGTGAGAGTTCTAGAGGTGAGAAAATATGACTGATTTAGAGAGCTAGGTACGGTTTTGACCTGTTTTGGTCAACAGTCTACCTAGTTTGCCATAGTTGACAGATTTAGTCTCTCATGCATAACTTGGTCGTTTCAACTCCGTTTCGCACGAAACTTTCCAGATCTCCTAATTGATATATAAGAAGCTTAAATATAAAATTCCAGCCTCTAACTCGATTTAGAAGTCCATATTCCAATCTAACTTAAGTAAGTACTAATCCCTAAAATATTACACTAACTTAATTAATCATGCTTAGCAACTTAAATGGACTTTTAAAAAAGTTGGATGTTACAATCTCCCAAATGTGAAACTAGATATGTATTGAACTAGTAAAGTCTTTGTTCTTTACAAGTTAAAATGGATGATGGTTTTTATGATTTTGTGTTATTAAATCATATATTTTTTTTATAATCGCGTGTTTCTGAACAGCTTACATGTATCGGCTAATACCAGATGATCAATCACTCAGAGTCATCATAGGTGAACCTCCATTGACTTTATGTAACACCTGTGTTTTCTTACACCCTTTAGGTTTCTATTTATTAATTTTATGATAGGGATTAGCAATTTTGGAAGTGATGGAACATTTTGAAGATAATAGTCTTTGGTAGTTGTAGTAACCCCTCGTATAAATCCAGTTCTACTAGAATTATGTTATCGGGTAAGATTCTTGGTCCTTGTCTCACTCTTATCGGTAAGAGTCGTCGCCCACACTTACCGGGTAAGACTCTTGGTCCTTGTCTCACTCTTATCGGGTAAGATTATTGGTCTTTACCATATTCATACGGTGATGTAATGTTACTTGGTAAGCGCTTACCCGGGTAAGCACTTGGTAAGTGAGGGCGACGACTCTTACCATGGTAAGCGCTTACCTGGTAAATTGTTGCATACGATGTCGTTTTGGTAGACTAAATATTTCTTGATAAGTACATAATAGTGTTAAATTTTACCGGTAAGCACTTACCGAGTAAGTGTTTGATAAACGGCCCCTTAATTGTTCTTTAGGGTCCACAAAAATAGTCAAGATATGAACAAGCTATATAACCCAGACATTAATGGTTACCAAAAAAAGTTATAATAGTTCAAATATGTATAATCCCGATTTCTATAATATTTAATATGTCATAAATTAAACACCTGTTTAAAATAAAATAAAAATAGTGTAACCTTAGCTAAACAAAACACGACTTAGTTTAATCTTAAGAGCTAGAAAAATAAATCACAGTGTTGAAGGAAATCAAATAAAACTTTGACGGACCCCACATTCAGATGTTTTCTTATGATTTTAAAAAGACCGTTGTTTATTATTCTTTTTCTCCTAAACAAAATATATATAATAAAAATGGTATAATTTTAAAGATATGTAATTATTATACGTTTTAATTAATTAAAGAAGAATTTTATCCTTGATTATAAAGAGAGTATTTATAATAAATTTTTTAATATTTTATAATTCGTTTCAAAACTCAATAATTTGAAATTATGCATTTACTTATTAAGTTATGTTTATTTTATTATTTAATGTGTATTTTAAATATTTAATAAATAATTAAATGTGAACTTTTAAAAATATAAGTTAGAATGCAGCATGGTTGACATAGTTAAAAAGTAACGATTATTGTGAAGTCAGAAGTATATGTGAAGTCTTGTGGTCCTTTAATTCCACTTTCCTTTACTATTTCTTTTTTTTTTCAAATGATTTTCCATTCAATTCAAAATATTTGCATTTTCAACGTATGCAAACGCAATAGGCAGACAGGTATGTATATATACTTTGATTTCTAAAAAAGAAACAATTATTGAAGTTGATGTTTAAAATGGTATATATATATATATATATATATATATATATATATATAGGATATATTTCTTTTACAATCTTGTGTATTTATACAACTCTTGTAACCCAATTAATTGAGATATTTATAGAAATGATGGAATTCATTTATTATGATTTGAATATTTATGGAATATGAATATAGTTCATTAATTATGATTAATATTTTATATTAGTAAACAATCAAAACTTCTATGAAATCACATATTTATCAAATTAAATGGACGGTTGATATTGTGTTGTATTGGTTGCACAAATGTCAAGGGTTGTATAATAACCAACCTCTCTCTCTCTCTCTCTCTCTCTATATATATATATATATATATATATATATAGAGAGAGAGAGAGAGAGAGAGAGAGGAACGATCAAATGAAAACCACTCTCATTTGTACAAACCGTACAAACCACCATCATACGTCGWTWTYMTTRTGAATTTTTTTCATGAAATTGTTAATCTTGTGAAATTGTTTCATATAATATTTTTTTTGATGAATTTGTTTCATATATGGTTATGAAATTGTTTCATATAATATTTAATGAAATTTTAATGAAACTGTTTCATGTATTTCTCTAAAATTAAAATAATGAAGATGATAATATTCATGATTAACACTCTCCACAATAAAAATGGTTAATCAACCTTTCATAATTACAAAAAAAAATAAACAAAATGAAAAATTATGATTGATTGAATGTGGTTTTCACAGTTTGTACAAATTGGGTGGTTTTTATTCCACGGGTCTCACGAAAAACCCTTGGTCTCAAATGATCCCAAGTCTATATATATATATATATAGAGAGAGAGAGAGAGAGAGAGAGAGGAACGATCAAATGAAAACCACTCTCATTTGTACAAACCGTACAAACCACCATCATACGTCGATTTCATTGTTTAATTTTATGAAATTTTTTCATGAAATTGTTTACTCTTGTGAAATTGTTTCATATAATATTTTTTTTGATGAATTTGTTTCATATATGGTTATGAAATTGTTTCATATAATACTTTTTTTGATGAATTTGTTTCATATATGGTTATGAAATTGTTTCATATAATATTTAATGAAATTTTAATGAAACTGTTTCATGTATTTCTCTAAAATTAAAATAATGAAGATGATAATATTCATGATTAACACTCTCCACAATAAAAATGGTTAATCAACCTTTCATAATTACAAAAAAAAATAAACAAAATGAAAAATTATGATTGATTGAATGTGGTTTTCACAGTTTGTACAAATTGGGTGGTTTTTATTCCACGGGTCTCACGAAAAACCCTTGGTCTCAAATGATCCCAAGTCTATATATATATATATATATAGAGAGAGAGAGAGAGAGAGAGAGAGGAGCGTTCAAATAAAAACCACTCAATTTGTAAAAACCGTAAAAACCTCATTCTACCAATCATAATTTTTCATTTTGTTCATATTTTTTGTAATTATAAGAGATTGATTAATCATTTTTATTGTGGAGTATGTTAATCATGGATATTACCATCTTCATTATTTTAATTTTTGAGAAATACATGAAACAATTACATTAAAATTTCATTAAGTAGTATATGAAACAATTTCATAACCATATATGAAACAACTTAATCAAAAAAATTATTATGTGAAACAATTTCACAAGAGTAAACAATTTCATGAAAAAAATTCATAAGATTACGATGGATGAGAGTAGTTTTTACGGTTTTTACAAATTGGAGTGTTTTCATTTGATCGCTCATATATATATATATATATATATATATATATATATATATATATATAGTATATACTCCTAAAATGTGATAACCTTGAGAATTAGTGTACCATGTGATATTTCATATAATTCTTTTCATTTAAGACTGACATTTAGAATATCAGTTAACATATATTTTCACAATGTAAACATTTTTAGCCTAATTGTAAAACAAATATATATTCATTAATACATTAAATATACTAGTCTTAGATAAGAAAAAATCACGTGAAATAATACCTTAAAATAATTGCAAATTAACTGTCTTCTCCTTTGCAAGAATGAGAGAAGAAATATAAATCACATACCTTATTTAAAGTTGATAAAAAAAATATGAGTTAATTAAAATTAGAAATAAATAAGTAGATTTAAAGATATAACAGATTCTTATATTATTTAAATAGCGTTTTTTATTACAATTATACCCTTAATAGATTTAATTTAATTCAAAAATTCTAATTTTAGAATTATTTTTTCATTCTTTATTTATGACATCTTAACAAAATATTTTTCCATTTGTTGAGAGACCCTCACAATATCAATAATTGCTCCGTTTACCCCCCAACAAACTTTTGACATAAAACTGTGGCCAAATGGTCATGATCAGCCCATCTTACTTCAGAAACCTTCCAATTTGGTCCTAAAGACAACAAAATAACCAATAAGAAAAACTAATACACATCCAATCAAGATCGTGAAATTCATTTACTTCTTTTAACATCCCTACCCTCATCCATAATCTACACTAAAAGGCAACTAGTAGTACGACCTAAATTAGACATGACAACAGATCACATAAAATGATATTTTATATGAATCTTTTGAACTAGTTAGGTCAAAGATGTCAGATATCATAATCGTTATATTTATATATGTATATATATATAGACACACACACGACGTTGAAAACTTCTGTTGTACTCTACATTACGTGTGGCAATTCAGTTGGATTCGAATCTACAATTGTGGTTCGTTACGAGATTTTGAAAGGTTAAATTGTGGTAGAAATGAGCAGAAGATAACCCAAAACAGATACATGGAGAACATAGATGATAATATGTATGAATTTTATTCAGAATTTTGTAAACAAGAAAGTGCCACTTTCAAGTTTCTATTCTTCTGTGTGCAAAATAACATACATATGGCCAGCAGTCTGAAAGAACACAAATAACTAATTATACAACCCAAAAGGACCAAAAACAAAAGGTACCCCACTACCATCTAAAATGCAAAGGGAGTTGTAGTTGTAAGAATACACACTAAAACAAACAAACAAACAAAACAGTTGTCATGAAAATCACCAAATTTATCCAAGAAATCCATCAACATGATGAGATTTTACTCAAATTGTCTGCAACTGAGAAAAGGAGATACGAATCATGGAATCGCCAAGTGTGCTTGCGTGCTTGCAGACAAGAGCTTCAGTTGCCTGTTCTTCGCTTTCGAATAACACAAGAGCCTGCTTCTTACCATTCATTTCGAATAGTTTTGTGTTCACAATGCTGCCATGTTCCTCCAGGTGCGATACAATCTCCTCTTCTGTCACGTCCTGTGGCAGGGTCGACAAGTGGATCATCTTGGTTGGTGAGCAACAATAGCGGTAATTTTTAGCAGCGTTGCGGTTAAAACGATTCAGATTCGAGTTCAAATACTCGTGTGTTTCAGCCCCCATTGTGATATTTGGATGCTTTGAAAAATTAACCTCCAACCGCTTCTCAAATAGGGTAGCTCCCTACATATAAAACCCAAATGTTGTTATTCATACAAAATAAAGAACTTCATAACCACCATAAAAGGACAAGGAATCAGACCTTCAAAAAGTGTACAGCCAACTCAGCCTGAAAGCCGTCACCCATCTGAACTAGGGCATGATCTGGTTTATTGCGAAGAAGTTTGATTCTGACAATGTTCCCATACAGAGAGAACAAGTTGAAGAGTTTATCCTCATCTATCCTCTGATATTAAGATAAAATATTAGCATCAAAATCTAGAGTGTCAACCTAAAGCCCATGAGAACAAAACAAACAAAAAGCTGGCTTACGTCAGGATTTAGATTAGATGCAAGAAGAGTGCATCTGTCATTCGTCCCACTAATTCCAGGAGGCAACCCTCCTCCGAATGCAGCCGCAATTGCAGCAGCATTGTTCATCTTGATTTCACACAAAAACATCCCAAGAAAGCATTAGTTACCCCATAGCAATGTATGCATTATATACACAAATGCAAGCATAATATGAAATATTAATGTATCTTACATATACATGCGTATGATGTTACTTTTACATAAAAGGGACATTTACCTGTGTATAGTTATGGTGAGCATTGACGCTCAGGTTTGAGTTTCTTCAAGTTATTTAATGAGATGATCAACTAGCACCTATCAATTCTAAATCTGAAATACGTGCATGTCTAGAGTCTAATATATAGGGACCCTCCATTTACCCGTATAAACAGGAAGGATAAAGATCCACAGCTATGAGATAAAATATCAGGTATGATTACGAGGAAGAGGTCAATTGGTTACAAATAATTCCTTTGCAACTTCGAACAGATACGTATTTATAGCAAGGAGCATAAGATGGCCAGAGAGAACCCACCTGAGGAAATCCAACTGAAAAGGGAAACAAGCAAAAAATAAAATAAATTACAGATCAGAAGGGAGGATCAGAGAAGTATTGAAAGAAAGAAAAAAATACTAAATATGGCTGCCTTGTCTAGCACCTGCCTAGCCCCATGAGATTGTAAAGTGTACATACCTCCTGCATCTCCGTATCCAGGCTGGCACAAAATTGAATAATAAGAGACATAGATATATAAAACAAATGCTGTATGATAACAAAAGATACAAAGACATAGATCAGAACATACTTGAGAGGGTCTCCCTTTCTGTTCTGAAGGCAGCGATGGGTTTGTGAAATCCCTATTAGGAAAACAAAGATTGCGTAATTGTAAAAGAAATGTACAAAAAAGGAACTTATTGCAGCGATTCACAGAATATTATGTTTGATATTTAAGATTTGATCGACGCACCTAGACCGCTCATTATTGTAATTCACTTGCAACTCTTCAAGACTGGTAAGAAAATAAATCATTGTAGTACCATATTAGGAAAATGAAGAGAAAATAGAGCAAAAGAAGCGAAAAGTTTGCTATTAGTTTGAAACCTACTTTGAGAACTGAATATCTAGTTGACAGCAACCATCATATATATTACGCCCCTGAAAAGGAATTGCAAGTGATGAACCATCTTAACAATAAAATGAATCAAAGGACAAATAAACCAATACCTGAAGGGCATTTCTGGCAGAAACAGCACTTTGACGCGATTGAAATTGAATAAGTGCTTGAAAACCTATGAAATTCACAAAAAAGGCATCTAAGCATCCGGAACAGTAAATTCATGCAAAGTGCTCCCATATATGTATATATTCAACACAGCTTTAATAGAAAATTCTGTTACCAAATATAAAACACAAATCAACGACTTGAGATTGATGTCAACTTTACTTAAATAAGTCAAATAATAGCTGATACTGTGATGTGAATTATAGTAGAAAAAGAAAGGAAAGTGATAGAAACAGAAACATGAAGAAGCTGACCAGCTGACTTTTGAAATGTGACGACCTTCTCCACATATCCATGAGGGGAGAATACTTGATGTAGAACTTCCACGGTTATAGGGTATAGCATGTGATGAATCGTAACCAAGAGTATACGATTAGGCTGTGTATCCACAGTACGTCCAACAGCAGCCCAGCATAGACAGAAGAGAGAGAAGAGAATAGAATGAATAGAGAAGAATAGATAGAGAAAAGGAGAAAGAGCAATAGAATTTTAAATATGTGAACCTCCTACACACAAACAGAGCATAACATGTATAAGAAATATAAGAACAGAAAGAAATTGCAAACAAAATTGAACAGGAAAAGGTAGCTTCAGTACTAGCAGTAATTGATTCATATTATGCTTGATGTGGTCTCTACCCCTTGAGAAAATTACAATTCTAGTAGTCTGTTTTCCATATATTTAAGATAAAAAAAATACAGCATTACAGCCAGTAAAAGAAAATCAAAATAATCTGATGCAAATACATAATAACAGATTTGATCTGCTCTGAGAAGGAACTCAAAAAGAATGGTGAACAGGCATAAAGGACATTGTAGTGAATATATCACTTGTCTGTGCTGAACCTTCAGCGGATTGTTGTATAAATGTCAACTACAAAAATATGAGATCTAGGCCAATCCCTTGGCGCTTCGTTTATTACTTGTAAGGCACCCTGCATTATGTTACTGCCTGTATATGCATGCTAAGCAACCCCAGCAAGACACAACTTGATATGTTATCAGTCATTCATCAGAAAAATTAGAATTCAAGAAATACAGGCAAGTCTATACATGATATTACAGCTAGGGTTTGTATAAGTATGTTTATTTTTAAGAAATTCTGGACAAATGTCCTGAGGGAAGGGATACCGGTGGATGGACATGAAAACTTCCTCTGGTGTAAGTATATTTGCACAAAAAAGCAAGCACCAGATACGAGATGCATATATTCAGTTCATATGCATATGCAAGACAAATAGAGAGGAGAAATGTTCAATCAAATTCGGTCACTTAAAATAGAACCATAAGGAAGTAATGACAGTATGCACTGGAAGTTAAATTGTTTACTTTTCAATATGCTGTAGCTAGTGTTAATGTATTGTAATATTGCGGGTTCTAATTTACTGCTTTTTCAATTGCAGGCCGTGGAGTTGAGTAAGCATGAGGAATCACGCTTGGAGCACAGCCTAGTTGGCCACTCTCGGTGTTTGTATGACGGCGTAGGTATAAGAAATATATGGAATGACTTGGACTAATCATTCAGATCCATTGAATACAAAAAAGGGGACAAATACTTATAAAACCAGCCACACAGATAGAAAATGGCGCTTAGTAGAACATAGCATTCTACGGAAATTATTAAAACAATTTAACTAACTGCTAAGGAAGAACCTTGCTTCCCATTTGCTTTTTTACTCATTGTTTAGTAACATGCATCTCATTTACAACATGCTCACACATATGCCAATATGGCAATATCAATTTGTAAAAGTTTGCTGACAGAAAACGCGGATGAAAAGGTGAATGCAATGGAACATTCTTAATGTAATATCCATAACAGTGAACTTAAGAGATTGCTGCTAAATTGAAAATACCAACCTCGTCTCCTCGTCCTTGAGTATTTTGCTCCATAGTAGTTAGCTCTTGATGAGACGAGAACTGAACATAAACATTTCTACCCCTGGAGGTAATATCGAGTTTGCATTCTTAGTTTCACCTTGCCAATCTTAATAAATAAAAACACTCCCATGGCATGTGGACAATGAATGAAGCTAAAATCATCTTAATGAAGATCATACATGACATCATATATTTTTGTTACATTAGTAGTCAATACACCTTATGCTTGGCTGAACATTGGCATAGAATTGCATTGCATTGACAGCTGAGGGAACATCTTGCATTTGAAGCAGAGCCTGCAGATGTGGCAAATTAACCAAAAGCATTCACATGGTTTCATCAGTTCTAAGTAGTCAAACACATATACCTCACTGGTATAGCACAATTCTATATCACAAATCCACAAACCTGGTTTTTAGCACGAAGCATCACTAGTTTGTTGATGACTCCAAAAGGCTGGAATAGCTGAAGCAGATCAGGCTGGAAAAAAGCAAATCGCATATTCAATTACTTGTCATTTGACAAGATTTCTCAAATTTATAATATAAGACAATATCTTATTTTAAACTTTGCTAATATCTGCATGTAATATAATTCTAAGCAGGTAAGATAGCTCCACAGTCTTAGATAACAACCAGTGCTGCATGCACGTAGTGAATTATGTAAGAATATGTCTTGCAACTCCAATCCAAAGTGTGACCAAGCGAAACCAGAATAACTGGGATGTGAAAACCACCAAATAGATTAAAGACAATATTTCAAAATGTCACAACATAACATAGAAAATAGAATTCTTGCCCATGTTAGAACACCTCATAAACACACTGCAGATTTTGCATATCACTCTAAAGTCAACGTGGTCAGACATGTTTTACTTTCAGCAAAAGTAAAGTCGGCACCAACGATTTTTATTAAAGAAAGAAAACCAATACTCAAAGTAACTGGCAGCTTGTTTTCCTTCTTTCATATACATTATCGTGATAAAGAATCTCACACGCATGGCTGTGAACTGGTTATGGTACCTGCATTACTTCTTAAGTTTCAAGACCTATACAGCAGCTCTCTTGAAGGTTATGACCTACCAGTGTCAATGTTTCCACTACCAACGCACACGACAATTCATATGGACCACCATGACAATTCACAATTCGGTGTCGGAAAAGAGTGAATCTAACAATTCTAATGCCACTTAAGAGCATTCATATATTGTAGTTTTACAGAAGCATTGAAATCCCATCGAACTTAGCATTAACTTTGATACTCTGACAATAGGTCATAAAGTCAATAAGTACTGCAAGATTAGTATTTTCCACATTACTTAAATAGAGTTCATTCCCTCCCAAGAAAAAAATAGAGTTCATCTCTATCCGCTGAGAGTATACAAGAAACCTTAACCAATGTTAATAAGTGTTCAGTAACAAATACAAAATTACCTCATTATTAGAACAATTTTTCCTAAGATATTATTAATTCTTCTGGCATAGCTATACTAACAAAAAAAGGTTCCAACAAAAACCGCTTCTACAAGACTACAACTATGAATAAAGAAGATTTGGACATATTAGCAGGTCTATTCCATCTTAACATCCGCCCGCCCCAACGTCTATACATCCTGCTTTTCTATGTTCTACAGACTTGTATGTAACTATTGAGAGTGAAGATAGTATACACAATGTGCTGCTCTTTCTCTTTGTCTTCATTTAGTCAACATGTACAATATCCAAGCTGCATATTCATCTACATTCTAATGATGCATCTCAATCATGTTATCTGTTGCCTAAAATTTCTTGCAGAGATCATGATAAGAGCATATAGTCTTCGTAATATCAGTGATCTAACTAAACAAGTGGGCTTCATCGACCAGCCTAGGCACTGCACCGCCAAATTCTTTTCTGTTTCCTTGTAATTGGTTTACTAGTCATCCATATAACCAAAGTGGGATTAAGTGGCGATAAAGTAAGCACCTAAAGGCATGAAATTGGTTATTTAATGGTGACAACTTCTAATAAATAAAATAATTAATGAGCTAGGCCATAGGGTTTTTAATCTTTTTCCATACACAACATCAGCAGTAAAGAGAGAACCTATTAAAAGGTGACCACTTTAGCATCTGATTAAAAGGTCTTAACTGCTAGACGGCCGCTAAGCTCCCGTAACAGTTTTAAGACGACAGTTTAATACAATAATAACCCTTCATTTCGAAAAGCCTGATTACAAAGAAAATACAGTGAGATATATAGGAATCAGAAACTTGGGCGAAATATGGTAATCTTGCATTTCTGAGGTATAAATCATCAATATGATTACAAATACACTCTATATGTACAAGAGTCAATTACATTGATTATCAGTTTCCAAAATTAAATTAGCATCATTCCCTAATGACAGAAAAGATTGCTTCCAGAAACAGAAAACTTTTTATGAATTATCCATCATAAAGAAGCATGTGGTGAGTGAGAATGAAATCAAACCTCAGAAATTTCATGACCAACATTCCGAACGTGAATGACTTTAGAAGGCTCTGTCATTTTAAATATCCCTGAAGAATTGAAGTGATTCAGGAACATGAAATATAAAGAAGGTCGATTTGAAATCAAGAAAAGATTTGGGGATAATTGGCAATCAAGCAAAAGCAAAAGAATTTGGAAGTAAAACCCTAAATTCGGTGGGAAAACTGTAATCAAATAAGGTATGGAATGGGAAGACAAAGTGAATCACAAAACCCTAGATGTAAATCGCACCTGAAGATGATGAAGGGAGATAGGAATGAAGTCAGCCGAAGCTTGAAGCGGCAAAGAGAGTGTCTGAAAGGGAATCGGTGTTGGGTTACGAGTTCTTCGACTTCACCCTAATTACGACCTTCTTCTATATTTCATCTCTTTAACTGTGGGCCCCTATCCATTTTTTATTTCCTTTTTTCCTTTCTTTTAAAACCATTCATTTCCTTTTATATATATATATTATATATAGAGAGAGGAAAGATCAAATATTAACTATCATTTTTGTGTTAACTTTGAAAATCCTCTTAACCAATTAAATTTCATTATTCTTATAGGTTTATGTCTTGTTCATTTTACCCTTACAAATGTATTCTAGTAAACTGAATTCATTTGTAACCCCCAAACAATTAATGGGGAGTTACAAACAATCAAATCCCAAAAAATATGCATTAATATTATTACTTTTTTTTTACTATTGATCTTCCATGTTCATTCTTGTATGAATTCCTAAATCGCATAAGAAACACGGTAGTAACAATTTTCGGTATTGATCAATTTGAACACAAATGAACCGTGAACACAATTTGAACAAAAATGAACAACCATGAACACAATTTGAACACAAATGAACCGTGAACACGATATGAACACAAATGAACACGATATGTGCAATTTTTGGCTCATATATTCACATGCATAGACGTCCCACAAAATTAAGGTAGCATCTGTTAATTTGTGTTCATCTGTTAATTTGTTCAAATTGTGTTCACGGTTCATTTGTGTTCATCTGTTAATTTGTTCAAATTGTGTTCACGGTTCATTTGTGTTCACGGTTGTTCATTTGTGTTCAAATTGTGTTCACGATTCATTTGTTTTCAAATTGATCAATACCGAAAATCGTTACTACCGTGTTTCTCATGCGATTTAGGAATTCATACAAGAATGAACATGGAAGATCAATAGTAAAAAAAAAATATGAATGCATATTTTTTGGGATTTGATTGTTTTAACTCCCCATTAATTGTTTGGGGTTACAAATGAATTCAATTTACTAGAATACCATTGTAAGGGTAAAATGAACAAGACATAAACCTATAAGAATAATGAAATTTGATTGGTTGAGAGGGTTTTCAAAGTTAATACAAAAATGATGGTTAACATTTGATATTCCCTATATATATATATATATATATATATATATATATATATATTTCCATTCGTCTTAGAATAAAAATACGTCATATATTCATGTATTTTTTTAATTAATAACCAAATTTTTTTATTAACCTGGATATCCAACCCGCTATGCGAGCCGACTAATCTCAGAACGACCATTTGCTTTGCAGATAGCCCGAAGCCACGATATTTGAACCTCCGTAGTCACAAAGAGATTTTTATTCTTCCTTGGATTTGAACATGAGAACTCCTGATACTTTTGACCTTTGGAGTCAAGTTCAAACCAATCAGACACCCTTGTGATTAAACGATATTTTTATAGATGGTAATAAACGAATGATATTAAAAAATAAACACTTATTTCTTAAGATATTTACTTTGACATAAATAAAAATAAAAATATTTATTCTAAACAAAGAAAATAATTATTTTTAATCAACAAATAAAACAAAATTGCTATTTTTTCAAAACAAAAAAAGAATGTTATTTTATCAGTTATATGATTTGATACAATAATTTGAGTAATTAGAGAATATCTTGTTAGATATCTCTACAACAGAGATTTTGTAAATTTTTGTTTTAACAAATTTCTTAAATTTTTCTCTAAAGTGGAGAAAAAGTATAAGAGAGGAGATGAAATTGTCTGAATTTGAAAACTCTCCAAAAATGATAATCTGTAAAAAAAATTACTATTAATAAGAATCCTTATAATTAAATGTATAAGAAGAAGAAAATAATTTTTTTATTAAAAGTAATGAATATATTTTAATAATATAATTTATATTATAATCTTTAAAATGAATAAACTGTTGGACATAAATATAAAATTTCTTTGAGAAGTATGGTTTTTGTGGAGAATCTGTTGAAGATGTTTTTAAAAACATAAAATATAGAATTTAAATTTAAAATATTCACACACAAAAAAGTTATATTCGTATCTTACTCTCTATTTTGGACACCATAACATTAATAATATTATTAAAATAATTTTATATTTAGTAAAATATTATTTTTTTCTCAAACATTTAACATCAATGTTTCATATTTATGAAATATAATATGTTACTCTTTTCATGGTGATTGTTTTTGGAAAATTCTTCAAATTTGAAGAAATTCACACATTCTCTCATGCTTTCTCCATTTTATAGAAATTTATTGGAACAAAAATATGTCCAAAATCTGCATTTTCTCCATTTTGAATAATATGTTGAAAATGCTCTAAGAGCATCCACAATTTAGGTTCTTGTTGAGGTTTTTGTTGGAATTTATGAGAACATTCACTTTGAGACAGAGGTTTTTGTTAAGTCAAGTTCTCATTGCAAGAACTCGGGTTTTTGTATACATTCATTTTTTTGTTATTTTTTATTTTATTATTTATCAACCATTTTAATTTCCTTTAATAAATATATAAAAACATAAAAATTAAAATTGATACAAGAAAAAATATAACTAATTATTTTAAATAAATTTTTAATTTAGTTTTATTTTTTCTTCCTTGTAAACTTGTATGCAAGTTTTTGTATTAATAAATTTAGTTTTTATATATTATTATATGTAGATTATTTTTCAAATAATTTTAAACATATATAATTAGAAATTCATTTTTAAATCATAAATTAATAATTATAAAATATTTTTTATTTTAAAAAAGATACCAATTTGATACATATAGAGAGAGAGAGAGTGAGTTATTATCCAACACTTTACATTTGTACAACCAATACAACTCAATCTCAACCGTTCATTTAATTTGATGAATATGTAATTTCATAAAAGTTTTGATTGTTTCATAATATAAAATATTAATCATAATTAATAAAATATAGTAATCTTCCAAAATATTCAAATGATAATAAATGAACTTTTATCATTTTGATATATATCTAAATTGATTGAGTTACATTGGTTATATAAATAGACATGATTACATTTTGTTTAAATCTTTCGTTTTTAGTCGTCATCCTCGATATTGGTTGAATATATTAAACTAATTTGATATGGCAAACAATTATTTTTTAAATCAATCACAGTGAGTGATCTATTTTACTATTAGTTATTTAGTGTTACTTTTTTATAAAGTTTAAAATTTACATAATATTGCACTTTTTGTGGTATAAAATCATATTTACGTTTTAATTGTTTTTCAAATATGTTAACAAATACTATAAAGATACTCGCGCATTGCAGCGAAATAAATCGAGATGATGCTTCGTTTTTTTATCTATGTCAATATAATACGGTTTTATGTGATTTTGAAAAAAAGATAATGTTTTTATTTATAAAAATCTGAAAAAAAATGTATCAATATTAATATCAAATTTACTATTTAAAAATTCTTTTTTTATGTAATTGCTTTAATTCAAAAATTTTATTATAATCTAATTTAGATTCAATAATAAGGTAATTTATTTTTGATTTAATAATATAACATTTATAATGTTAATAATTAAGTATTATGTTATAAATATAACTCAATAATTATCCTAATTATATTTTAGATTTTTTATATTTAAAATGAGATGTTTATCATGTAGTTGATTATATTTATCTGTAGTTAGTTACACGAATTCAAATATTAAGCTTTAATAAATTGTGCTTAGGCACAATTTACTTGTAACCTCGAACTTTAAGTGATATGCATCAATAAACAGTATTTCATACATAAAAAATGATTTGTAAAAATATTTATCAAATGCTTTATAATATAGTATATATATAATTTAACAAATTGCAATTAATGTATAAAAGTGAAATTTAATAATCATATTTGTATTTTTTTTATAATCTTATACATATATATTAAATTTATATAATAATTTAAAAATAAAATTATATTTCATAAATTAAAATAGAAAATGAGTTTTTTAGTTTTATTGAACTTCTCATTCCTTCTTGGTGTTTGTATTGCCTTAAATTGGCTTAATTATACGAAAATCTATGGTGCGCTTCTTACGACGGGAAGATAATTTCATGTTCTCTCTATCGTTGCAAGAGATTAAGGGGCGGTTTACTTAAACACTTACCCGGTAAGCGTTTACGGGTAAAATTCAACACTATCGTTTACTTATCGGGTAAGATTTGAATCCACTAAAACGACATTATATGTAATAATTTACCCGATAAACGCTAACCATGGTAAGAGTCATCACCATCACTTACCGGGTAAGATTCTTGGTACTTGTCATGTTCATCCGCTAAAGTAATATAACTTGATAAGTGCTTACCCAGATACTATAGTTTTAGGGCTTAACCTGTTAGAATCAAAACTTGTTACGGTTAAGCGCTAAAATGGCAAAGACAAAGACCGGTAGGGACTAATTAAGAGCCAACCGACTTGGTTGACGATCTTTAACTGTCGCTACCAAGTGGGATACGAAAAAGTTATGGCTAACGAAGATTGTAACTTCAACTTAGCGACCATCGGATTAGTTTTAACATTTAATTTCAGACCATAAATAAGTACTTAAAGTTGTAATGCCACAATTACAAGGACTCAAACCATCATATTGGCTTCTTCATCTTCCATTGTTGCTGCTTCACTGAACATATATTGGCTCTGATACTCCATCAAGTACTGCGTCGATCTCTTCACGTCCCAAAACAGCTCGTAAACTCGACTCACGTCTTCCATCTCCACCACCTTCCCTTTCCTTTTCTGGCATGACAATGACGCTGATGTTATCAGATTTATCGCGTATCTCAGAGACGTCTCCACCCCGATTTTCGTCAACAAAACCTTTGCATCTTCCGATACATCTACATCTTCCTCTCCGCACCTTATATCAAGAATCTTCCGCAGCTCTTCTTCCGAGTATGGTTGTGTCGATATGATCAGCAGCCGATCCAGGAAATCGATTGGGATCCCATGTGGGGATTTGTAGTTTGTGCCTCGAATCGTTGTGATTCCTCGGTTGGTTGCCACAACCAATATTGGTGCCATGTCATTTTCTAAAGCACGATTTAGGAACGAAAAACACTCGATATCAAGCATGTGGACTTCGTCAATGAACAGAACACCTGGAACGATCTCTGCCTTTCCTTCCTCCCGCCACTCTGCAACCTTTGTATCAATCTGTTCCCTCACCTCAGCTCGTATTTCGCCAGTGTCACCAGTGAAAAGAGCAAGGAACCCCTGTGTTCTGCATTTCCAGTTCAAAACAAGATTAAAGATCCAAGAGAAATTTGAGTACCAAATGTGATAAATTTGAACTTCCAAAATATGAAATTGAATGTACCTGCTATTGATGACATCGATTTCATGAAGTGTAACACAATGCACCACCTCTTTCCTCTTCTGCAACTCCCCATCAGGACACTGCACGAACTTCGTCTGTGGTCCCATTGCATCATAATCTCTAGACCTCGAAAATGATCTCCCAAGTTTTGTAATCTTCCCCGAAGCCTTATCAATTGCAATCACATCGCCACTTTGAACTTTATCCTTCCCCAAAGCCTCAATCATCTTTGCCCCCAGATCGTAGACTGTCTCCATCTCTGTTGTTTTCAGGGTCAATTTCCCCGTTTTTGACGCTGCTCCCGCCACCGCGGGACGATCAATCTGGATTTCTACAACTTCCCCTTCAATCACTTCAGTCTCCTCCTTAATCCTAACACCAATTGCCTTCCTAAAAGCTTGCATAAGGGCTTCCGTTTTAGACATCTCCAGAGAGAAAAGTTCGCTACCTGCGAGCATGGCAAATGGGGTCTCTAGTCCAATGGATTTGGCCATTCCCATGGCAATGGCAGTTTTGCCTGTTCCAGGCTGGCCGGCGAGGAGAACAGCTCGACCTGCAATTTTACCTTCTTTCACCATCTGCACGATGACTCCAGCAGCTTTACGGGCAGTGGTTTGGCCTACCATACCTTCAGAGACCGCGCGAGGCTCTAGGGCTGAGTCCAGACCCAGCCCACGGATGTGGGAGTGAGCACCTATTCGTTCAATTCGGGTTAGGTCTCTGCTCTCTGAGACTTTTAGCTCCACCATGGTTTGTTGGTATTAGTTTTTTTTTGCAAGAGCTTCTGTAAACCAGATCAAAATCAACAAACAATATCAACAGAGAGTAACCCGAGCAGTCACTAAAATCCCTAAATCAATAAGCCGTAAATCACTAAATATATTGAAACAACTAAATCCAAAGTAAACAATTTCAACTCAACTAAAATCCCAGAGACGCTAAGAGTCTAAAATCCGTAATTAATAAAAAACTAAATCACAGATTTTAATCATTCCAGTCCCATTAACATTTAAGAATATAGTCAAGTAATCAACAAAAACCCAAGTAAACAATTTCAAACTCAATTAAAGTCCCAGCTCACTAAAACAAACAGTTTCAAACTAAACAAACAATTCCAAACCCATGAATGTAGCAAATCAATAGCATTAAAAATGAAAACTTAGGATAATTAATCAAAAAAACCTGTGACTTAGGGGCTGTGACCGTGAAAGTGAGATGATTTGACGAATATGAAGTCAAAATTACAGGTTCCATCTGCCATTGCGCGAATGGCGTGATAAACTGATAGCACTGCCGTAAATCATCCCTGCTTCGATTTTAGTGAGATTTACTACAGGATGTGACGTGTATCATCCCCGTCTCCCTTCGAAGTTTGCTGAAATTTGGAAACCAGATCACAGTGGTCTTGAAATTGGAATGCATTGTGGAGGATGGAAATGAGGGGGCGTTTGGTTTGCAGAATGTTTTTTGAAGGGATGGAATCTGTCAAAGTAATAGGTATCTGGAAGGAATTGGAATGGAATGTTGGTTGGCAGGAAATGGAATGTAATATGTCAAATGAATTGGAATATGCCTGTTTGGTTTACAAAGGAATTGGAATGGGATAATAAAAAATGACCAAAACACCCTTTCTTTGAATCTTTTTTTATTTTTCTAAAAGTATAAATAGTAATAAAATGAATATTTAATGTGAAAAAATATGTAAATTACCATTTATTACATAAAATTTGTAAAAAAAATTATATAATCTTAAACCAAACCATTCATACACGTTACCACATCAAATACATACATAAATATTGTTGCCAAACTGTTCTTACACATGGCTAGAGGTTGCCAAACCATAAAATTCAAGCAATAAGTACCAAAAATATTGTTCATAGACATTTATAGACCAATTATTGGTCTAACATAAACCAAAAATATTATTTTCAAAGCAAACCAGCTGTTGGTCCAACATAAGCCGGACAGAAAAATAAGTGGCAAAGATGTGTACTCCAAGAAACCATTACCGCCAACCAAAAAACAAAAGGTCATTAGATGCTTTATGTTACTTATGTGTTAATAATAAAAAATTAATAATTACATATACCGTGAACCATTTCCATCTTCCATCTTTAGAGTCCTTATGAGCACGCTCAGGTTTCTTAAAGTAATGTGGATGTAATCTTATGAATGCAATGCAAGGTCTCCTAAAAATTATACTAATAGTTTCTCCTAAACGATGAAAACGACATGCGATGACTGGATTCTTAACATTATGAGCAATAATGTGAAGGAAAATGGCAACTTGCTCATTAATACTCATTCCTACTTGCTTGTAATCCTCCTAATGTTTCAAGTATATTACATAACTTTTTAAAACACCTTCTATTCATCCTAAGATGTAATATGCAAATAGTATCACTCTCATAAGCATACTGCAATATTGAATATCAATCAACATTTAACAAAGAATATCGAATACATGGTTTTCTGTTTGGTAATTGGTTCTTAATTTGAAAATCATAGTGAAATACCAAACAATAGCAATCATAGCTTCATTCCAAAACAATCTAATAAGCCTACTTCTACATGTTGTTGCTAACAATTGTACCATTTCCATTTTAGAAAGAGAAATCGTGAACGAGGGAAGGAATGTTAAGTTAAGACTTATAAGAGCTTAAATTTAGCAACAATTCAACACCGATCACATCCGCCCCTGTTAAGAAACATGAATGTCACTAGACATTGTAGTATAAGGATGTAAAATAGCTCACTTTACCAATACATACATATACATATATGTGTGTGTGTATATACACACCACAAATAGTGTTCTAATCCACCAAAATCTCTTGGCTCAAATAAGATACAATGACAGTAAACAAAAATGGTTTCACAACTCAACCTGTAACCAAACAAAATTTTAAACGAACCCTCAAACCACTTCCAAATTTGTACCTTATTTCTGCTTCCATTAAGCCATAAGAATTCAATATACAATGAATATCCTTACTTCACAAATTAGGGTATACGCACTCATCACATGTACATCTTCATCCAAATCTTGTGTTCATCTTCTCCTAAATCTTCACTTCAAACTAATCGAGTAAGCCTAACTTAAACACGATACAATTAAGCCGACTAAATTCGTCATCATTAACTACCTAACACATAATTAAGTAAAAATCTCATAAACCCTAATCAATGAAAACCATGTATAACAAAATTCTCATAACACCTTAACAAGTAACAACACAACAAATTTCTTCACATAAATCGTACACCGAGAAACATAACTAGAGTACTATCTACAAAAAACCCAAAACCAACATCACAATAAACAAGTATAAAAATACCAAATTCATATAAACTGAGACAGTTTTCGACAACAAATACCTGCAACTGCAATGGTGATGAACCGAATGGAAGATTCGAGAAAGATGCAGTGGCTGCCCTCTTCTCGTTTCTGAGTATTTCTTCCTAGCTTGCCAATGGCATCATTCTGACCGAATGGAAGGAGTTATGGCGGCAGAGAGACATAACCCACATTCAAGATTCAACCTTTTATGCTTTTCTTTCTCAGGTTTGGGCCATAAAAAGCCCGACCCATGAAAGTTGAAAAAGGAAATGGAAAAATAAAATGTAATTTGGTGTTTGTTTATTTTATATTGAGAAATTATTTGTCGGTTGCTGAATGATTTAATGTATAACGATTAAGTGATTATAATAATCAAAAGACTTTTATGATATAATGTAAAATGAAATATAATTGTTTACAATGAAATCAGAGCGCTGAATGGTTAAGGGAGGTCCATGATATAAAATCATTCCGAGGATTTTAGAACCATTAGGAGACAGATTTTTTTTGTCAAACAAGATTCACCTCTTATTGATTCAGATGCTACATCTTAATTGAACTATTAAAAAGTAAACAAACAACCCCGAATCATAATAAATAAATTAGTGTATGAAATTATTTTTTCATTATTGGATTTGAATGGTTTAAATAGTATTTGAGTTGTATTTATGTATTTGATATTGGGTAGAAAGTTTAAATATTGTTCTTTTTGATTTAACTGACGATTAGATATTTTTAATGTCGACCTGTAATAATTTGATTTATTTAGAAATTATTAAATATTGAATGAAAAAGTTTATATTTTGGACCTAACGTGGATGCATACTGACTAGTGAGAAAGTCGGTTTGAAGGCGTGTGACTTTTATTATAAGTTTGATGTGTTACCACGTGTTACGGTTTTTTGAAGTTGGATAGATTAAAGGACCGTTTATCGGGAATCAGTTAGACGGCCATCGGTCTAAAAGACGCGGTTACTTTTTTGTTTTATTTATATGACTCTTTTTTACCATTTTACCCTTGTGTTCGAGTATAAATGAGTTATAGCTCGTGGTTGATTCAGACAAATCAAAAACACAAACATTTTTAAAACTCTAAATCAAACAAACGTTGGAGCTTCCAAAACCCGATTTCTAGATGGTTACAAATATATGGTTTTGGAAGAACAAGTTTGTTGGTTAAATATGTATTTTGGAACAATGAATTAGATGATTATATATATATAGGGAAGGGTTCAAACGAGAACCCCTGTGATTTACGAGAACGCAAGAACAACCCAATAACCTCATATTGTGATAAAAAATAAAATTAAAAGATTTTTTAAATTAAAATTAAAATTTAAAAAGATTTAAAAAAATTAAAATTAAAAGGGTAATAATGGAACATCAAATCTTTTAAACACGATCATT